AGTTCTGTTTCTATGACACTATTTTATAAGCATGGATGGCACCAGTTTATGTATGCTACCAATTTCTAAACTTTCAGCCAATTTGAAGTTCAACTTTTGAAGTTATAGATGAAATCATTTTCTCAATTTTTGACAACAGATTCTATGATGTCATACTTTACCCACAATCCTTTGCTTGAAAATCAAGATGGCTGACTAGGTAATACTGATGAAAAGTGGAATATCTAGAGAATGAAAAGTGATACAACAAAACTGTAATTTGCATTCTCCTACATTTGTGGAGCTTTTTCTTTAGGGGTCATTATGTTGTTTGGATTGAGGTTCCCTTTAAACCCCTACCCAGCCAACAATACAGTATATATCAACTAAACTTGGCATTTCTGTTGATATGTGGTTTGATTCGGGAAATATTCATTCATTCAACCTTTAAGGAAACGGGATAAGACTGTAGAAGGTATCTTACCATGCTTCAGTATTGCCTTGTTGCACAGGGCATAATATCTCCCGTTTTCAAACATTTGAGTTAAAGTCTCGTCCCACCACTCAATAAGGTCATTGTCTTTACGTGTCACTAGACTGGTCTCGCCTGTGACGCCACAATTCTTCGCTTCACCAATCTTTTCAAATCCTAGTTCTTGGGGGTTTCCAGCGAAATTGTCAAAAATAAACACTGCATCCAACTATAAGAAGAATAAACATTTGCCTATATCGACTAACGAACATTTCTAGGTGTGGGAAACTTATTATTTATGAGATGGCTAACGAAAGCCCAGATGTACATTAAAATAGATCATGTATCATGTTTTTAGTAATTATGTGTTATATTTATCAGCTTCAGAATTTATTTTTAGTATCATTGTTAAAAGTTAGATTTATTTTTTGACTTGTGATCATAGGTACTCAGTAGAAAAAGCAATAACGTGTGTCAGTCATCATTTAACTGGAAAGCAACGTTGTGAAAGTTTCCATTTAACTAGAATTTCTGCACTTATGCCAGTTAAGTGAGAATCTACTGAGAATTATTTCGGATTCAAGCAAGACGAAAAAACTTTGAGTTTGTAGTTACATTAGTTCATTTTGAATACTGCAATCTAGTTTGGGGGTCGGGACAAATAAATAAACTTTATAGATAATAATAGCAAGAATGATATACGACTTTCCTACACGCACTGCCACTAAACCTATTTTAAACAATCTGAAATGGATGTCAGATAGGCAGAATTGGTATTGGTCAACAAAAGTATGAATGGACTCGCCTAACATTACATAAGAAACATGTTCAAACTTGAGGTATAAGATTTAATGACAACCTCGAAATGATATCTAACACATGTAAACTAATTAAAGATGTTTACTGATTGCTTTCAGTTCTCAACTGCCAAAAAAACAGTGCGCGAAGCACCATCAATCAGGGAATACCTAATACGGACTTATCTTGGATTATCTTTATTTTCGTGGGCCGCATTTCAAGTGTCTGTACACCTTTTGTGAATCGAATTAACCGTTTTTCTACAAGGCATTGCCACGTCTCGTTGAGGAAAAACTAAGTCAATGTCATGACTAAATATTAAGTGAACGAATATTAAACGCTCAATGACCATGCATTTACGCTGACATTGGCAATGGTAATTTAAATAAATGAAATGAATTCAATTAGAAAATTTACAGACATGTTTTCATAACCAGATGAGATGTTATGAATACAATCATTTTGATATCAATTTCATGCTGTGTGCAAGCTGTGGGAGTCATGACAAAATTACTTATTAATTCCGCGATCGGCAGTCGACCTCATCTTTAGTGTGAATGGATAATTTTTCACTCTTGCCATTTTCGTCATGGATCTGTCCTATGCAATATTTAGAGTACTTCCTACAGTAACATAAGAATATTTCAT